TCAGCACTTCTCTGATCATCCTTGCAGTCTTCTTCCATTGCTTTTCCATCTTGCCTCTATCTTCCTTAATCCTGGATGAGAAAAGCCATACGCAATACCCAGACTAGGTCATTACAATACCCTTCAGGTAGCATGGACAAATCCCAATCCTGAAATTACTTCCAGCTGATGTTTTCTAGATTTCTGTATTTATTTTTTTATTTTGGTGTGCACTGCTTTAGTGACTCCTTTATCCCCTCTAGAATGAACTGGAACGTCTGTCCTCTTTACTGACCTGTTGGTGGAATGTTTTTGTTACTAGACTTGCATGGCCTCCATACGTTCTATCAAGCTCCGTCTTTCTTGTGCTGCATGAGGGATCTACACTATTTCATCAGCATGGCTGTGTGGAAACAGAAAACATTCCACTCTGAAATATGAGTTTATTTCTTAAAGATTAATTCATATACGGTACAGAGCTAATTACAGAAAAAACATATTTCATGGTCTAGGGCAATGTGTCCCTGCTCATGGCAGGGGGGGTGGAACTAGATGATCTTAAGGTCCTTTCCAACCCTAACTATTCTATGATTCTATAACTGTAAATTATGACACAGTTTCCCTGCTGTATACATTTAGTTCCTTGGATTATCTTTCATATAAATGAACAGAAAAAACGAAAATGGGAAAAATGATTGCTGTATTTGCTTGCAAAACTCTAGGAAAGTTTTAAATCACAGCCATCTCCTAAATCAAATGTGTAACAAGGGTGATAATGAGTGTAAACACACTGAATAATAAAATGTAATTTGTGTTCTGAGTTATAGGGCTCTAATCCAAAGCTCACTGATGTCTGTGGAAAGACTTCCATTGAATTGAATTAGGCCTTGGCTTTTGTCCTGAATGAACACAATACCAGTGGAGCTATTCATGAAAGAAATGTTTGGAAATAAATCACAGGAACTTGCTGTGTCAGAACCCAATTCACTTGCTAATTCAGGCAGTCATGTTTTACAATGCTTTTTGCGGTGATACTTTGTCATAGTCCCTCACATCAACTAACCAAATTCAATCTTTAGAAAAATCATTTGCCACTGCTGCTGCAATTGGGAGTTTGTTTCTGGATCGTTACTCTGATGTTTGAAACCTTCTTTAACCTCTGGGCTACACCTGTGTATGCCAGTTGTTTCCACTTGATTTATGCCGACATAGTCTCCTAGTCTACTCTATACAGTTTACTTTGTCTTTATTCTGTACAGTTCCGGTAAACTACTGACGATCGTCCCATCTCCTCTCAGGCTTTGCTTTGTTTTGCTAAATAAGCCGAACATTTTAATTTCTTTTCCAGTAAGTCTTTAACTCTCTGTAGCCTTTATCTGAATCTGTTCCTGTCTGGTTTAATCTATCTGGGATACAGGCAACAAAACCTGCATTTTTAATACCATGTAATAGTGCTCTATACAATGTTGTTAATAGCTTCCTTGCTTTACTGGAAATATTTTTCCAGATACATTCAGTACTTTGTTTGCCTCCTTATGGCTGCATTTCACTGATGACTTTTACCATGTGACTGACGATCTTGGATCCCAGGTGACCTCCCATTTAGTAGTTCCAATAGTTTTTAGTCCAGTAGTGCATAGCTTTGCCCTTGTACTCTGAGGCTTTTAGCTCATGTCTATTACACCAGAGCTCATTTCTTCCTTGGATGGTGCTCTGTTTGTCCTTTGCCTTGGCTGTCATAAATGATAAAAATCAAGCTTGAGTAACCAGCAGCCTTAATTAGTGTGTGCCTACTTCATGCTAATTTTGTTCATGAAAAAATAAAAGAACTTTAGAAACTGCTAGAGGTGGTGAATGACGGGTGATGCGACCTGACGTAAGGTGACGGGGAAGAATTGGGGAAAGGTGCCCAGTGTTGGGCAAAATGATGAGAGGGCTCAGAGCCCACGAGGGAGAAGAAAGAACTTCTGCAGAATTGGTCAACTGAAAGTTACTCACATTTACCAGAGCAAATCAGGTCTCACAGAGACATACTTGGGATGGATGAAGACAGTCCAAAATCCTGGAAGTAAATGCCTAACTTGTGACTTTCTGCATTTTAACTTTTTAAGAGTAGCAACACTGCTGCTTAACTTTGGACATTCCTTAATTTATTTTTTTTCCGAAGAGTTTTCAAAGTATTCTGAAAGTTCAAAGGCACATTTTCTAGAAGTATTTAAAGAATACTGAATCCTAAAAGTCCTGAATTGAGAGGATTATGAGTCTTGAATAATTTATCCACAAAACTTGAAAGGGAGAGAATTTTCTTATGTCTTTAAAATGCATATGATATATTTCCTTATAGATTGGAATTAGTCCGAAAGACTTTTATCCAGATAAGTATATTCAGCAGATATTAGAAGTCACAGGCAATAGCAATTAAGGCATAAGGCATTTCCTGGGAATTAATAGCAAGCTGGGAGGAGTTGGGATGGCTCAAAATGCAGCTGAGGGCCGTTAATTGCAGTTGATGATTAATGACCTCTGATAAGGTCATTATTATTATCAGCTGAAAATGGAGAAAAATTCAGATGTATGAATCTTTGTAATGGGAGATGCAGCTTCAACCAGTGCAGTAGATGTGTCCCCACTGTGGATAGACTGCCCGGTATTAGTATCAAATCGAGGGCTTGATTTCCCTCCTCCCCACGGCACTTTTAGAAGCATTAATCAAAGCTGAATCTCTAAATCTGCACTAGTATCAAATTGAAAGGTAAGCAGAATAAAGTCCATAGCATTTTAATGTTCTCCCAGTATTACATTTGGTGTCCAGTGCTTAATCAGCTTTATTTAGAGATACTCCCATCTATCCCTTTCGGTGTCTAATGAGAGTGCATCTCGATATTGTCCAGATATGTGCCCAAAACATTCCTTGTGCTCACTGTTCTTGGGCCCAAGTTTGAAATCATGTCTTCCCTTCTTCCCAAGATCTGCATTCTGGGGTGTTGCAAAGGGGGCAGGCACAAATGACGAGAAAATATCACTGTGCCAATACAGGGAGAATCTGTTTCCTAATAAATAGTAAGTCATAATAAGTAATTACTTCCCAGTGGCCAGACAAGTAAGTCTGTGCATGGTTTCTTCCATGGTTGGTGACATATTTTTTTTTACATGATGAATGATTTTCTTGTTGACTTATGGGGAAACTGAGAGCTTCTGCAGGGGACTAGGAAAAGTTCACTTTGCTGCTTATTCTTAGTGACTGTGACTTCTGTTAAAATACCTCGAATATCTATCAACTCCACGATATTTGTGGGATTACTGCATGTCTTTATTCCCCTTCCACCAACAACTGAGCTCTCTTCTCTCTTTTTTCCCCCTTTTTTTGTTTATTCCTCTGAAGTATGTCCTGTGGTGAGAGGAAGGGGTGAGTGAGGTCAGGTGAAATGAAGTGAAAATCATGAAAACTTAATAGACCACAGGGAGGTTCCTTTGAAAGGAAGAAGTTCTTCCCTGTGAGGGTGCTGAGGCGCTGGCACAGGGTGCCCAGAGACGCTGTGGCTGCCCCATCCCTGGCAGAGTTCAAGGCCAGGTTGGACACAGGGGCTTGGAGCAATCTGGTCTAGTGGAACGTGTCCCTTTCCCATGCCAGGGGCTTGGAACTAGATGAGCTTTAAGGTTCCTTCCAATCCAATCTATTCTGTGATGATTCTTGCTTTTTAAGATCAACAGATGAGAACTGAAGTATTGATGAGATTACATAAATTGCATTTTCTATTTCATCTTATGCAGCCTTAGCAACTTATCCACTCTAAGGGAAAATAAACTGTTTTCCTGGATGAGAAGAAAATAAGTTATATTTTAAAGCTTACTTGCAGATGTATCAAATAAAACACCGGGTTGTTGTAGTTTTACAGACACCTGACATAATAGCACTCAGTGTGTGAAATGGTGTGGCAAATCCTCTCAAACACATCTTTTTTCAGCATAAAGAACTCCTAAAAGAAAGGGCTTTGCTCAGGCTGATTCTCCATCTTTGAAGACTTCAAGTCTTGGTTACAGTAGTTACAATGCTAGAACTTTATGTGAGTCTCACTGGATGGCAGTTGAAAATCTGAGTAAACATGAAAGCTAGACTAAATGATAACTGCTCCCTTTCAGTCTTAACACTTTATGAATCTATGTTTGTGAGTAAAAAGACCTGTGCAACTGTGTCAGAACTGATGTAAAGACTTTGGTTTTATCTGATGGTTTGGAACTAGTCCTTTGTGTGTGCATATTTAGAGAAATTGCAGAGAGAGTCTGATCCTCCAAGGCTGCTCATGAACCTTGAATTTCTGTGGACCTCTAGATCCATAGATGTGGAACACCTCAGACCTTTCCTTTACAGTATCAAAATATCCATGTTTTTGTCATCTGCTTTTGAAAGTGGTTCAAAACCACTAAACACTACAGCTAAGCATTCTGAAGCCTGCATTTGTCTTTGAGTCAGGTCACTGTTTTCAGATCGCTTAATTCCATGCTGCTACAGGAACTCTCAAGAAATGAGTGTGCCTGCACTAAGTATTTAAATGACAGAAACATCAAAAGAACATAACATGCAATACAAAATGACCCTGCTGTGTTGATGTGAATGTTACAGTGAGCCTGACTTTGTCTGCTGACTCCATTGTAATTCAGCACAATGTTTGCTTTTGTACAGATGAGGCCACAGTTGTCTTGTATTTTCAGTCATGCACCCTTTTCAGCTTCATTTAATAAGTCACTGTCTCCGTTTTGCTCAAGTTTTATGAGTTTAATAGCTTCTGGGTTCTCAATTTGAAGAATCCTTCCCCCAAACATTTTGTAGAGCGCTTCCAGACCAGTGCTTTCCTTAGTTACTTTTCACAGAGCCTTCGTTATTCTATGGACACTCACCCCCAAAGGCCACAGGCTGAAACCTCCTGGTTAAATAATTGTCAAGTTTCAAATGATCTTTCGACACAGACTGATGTGAAGGAGCACAAAGTAAATCTTCAGCATTCTTTCTTTTCCCTTTGCAGGAGAAATTTGAAGGCTTGTTCCGTGCCTACGATGACTGCGTGACATTCCAGCTGTTCAAAAGCTTCAGGCGTGTGCGGATAAACTTTAGCAGTCCCAAATCAGCTGCTCGTGCCAGAATAGAGCTGCATGAAACACAGTTCAGAGGGAAGAAGTTAAAGTTGTATTTTGCACAGGTAATGAAATCTGGTGTCTACTTCTATGTTAGTGCTTTTATAGAAATACTGAGCAGTAACACTTGTATAAAAGTAATAAAGGTTTCTCCCATGCCCAATCTCTCTGCTAAAAGATTTCTCAAATGTCATTATGTTGCCTGAGCTGCATCTGACCAGTGTGTCTGCACTAAATTTAAAGGACCGCTCAGGACCCAAGTTGCTTATTCAACACACAGACGTTACACGGCTTAGAACTGATTTACAATGCTGGGTAATTTCTGTGGGTAGCTCTCTACACCATAAAAGAGTGGTAATGTAAAGTGTCATAAGTTCATAAAAAAAGTAGGACCGAATTACTTACTTGACTGCATCCCTGAGCCATAGTCAGGCTTCCTCCTCCCCTCCTTTTTTTTATTCTTACTGAATACATGTGTGAATTTTCTAGAAGGAATATATCAAGTATAAGGAAAAGGAAAAAAGTACAGGAAAACACACACCCCCAGCCTGGGGTCATAGGTGATTAAATTCATCTGTTGGAAGGGTCAGTTGAGGATTTGATTCTCCTTGGCCAAGGGATAGAGAATCCAGATCTCCCACAGCCTGGGTGAGTAGTAGGCCTCATCCAGGATACAGAAAGGTGAGTGAGGTTGAGAACCCAACCACCACCTCTTCTGAATGTATTTTAATAAATTGCTGTGGCCACTGTGGCTTATGGGGTACTCACTAGTGCTTATAAGCAGTGTAAGTGCGCTTTGAGCTGCTGGATTGGTTCTTCAGAGCTCTGGGGTTAAGAGCAGGCTCATCAGAAGGTATTGGTCAAGCCTAAGAGGCAGTTAAATTTTGAGCTTCTGCAGCCTGGTCAGAATAAGAGCTGATTTAAGCCTAGGCAGAAGCAGGACTTGAGGAGGATGGAAAGCTACATTTGTGAAAGAAACAAAACAATATGTTTAACGGGTTAGATGAGTTCAGAAGATTTTACAGTTGGCTTTAGGTATTGAAAATCTGCCTCAGTCCCATTTTAGATGCCTTAATCTCTAGATCTGGCTCTTACTTTTTTCTGAAAGGTTTCAAAACCTGCTATTACACAGATCTGAGAATCATTTCACTGTAACTGCACAATCAAGAGGTTAATTGAAAACTTGGGTAACACAAGAAAAAGAAAAATGTGCATAATAGTGATTAGTCTCCATATCTAAGCTGGTTTCCCACAGAGCCATTTAGGTATCTGCACTATGCTCTCCAGTGTATGCAGTCTTAAAAGAGCTTGTTAGTTGTGTCCAAGGAATGAGTATGTGGAAGCAACACAGTGTTTGGATCTGTGTGTCTTTACATGGGCTTGGGCCAGACTGAATAAACACTTCGAGAACTAGAATTTCTGGGGAACATGGAGTTGAGAGAACCAAACTGGCTCTTTGCAAACCCCATTCTAGTATGGCAGGCTGCTGTCTCAGGCTTGCTGCCATGCAAATGCAGGTTATTGCTTTTGGGCTCAGGGTGGTTGTAAACTTGCTCAGGTATGTGGAACCTTCTTTAATATACCAGCAAAAAGCAGTAATTAAACTAGATAATTTAAGATGGAAGTGAAATGAGAACAACTAGTTGTAAATGACTAAGAAACATGATAGATTCCTTTATCACTTCATCTAAAGAAATCAGATCCTCAGAAGCCTTTCTGAAGTTACTTATAAGGCCTTGGTGCAGGAGCTACTGGTTTCTTGTCTAATGTCTGCTTTTATTTAGGAATTTAGACCAGTACATCACACCAGTATCTTTTCAGCCTCAAAAATCTCTGAACTAGCAGCTGTGGATACCAAAGCTTTGCGTTTATCCTCACGGAACATATACAATAGGTACAAACAGTGTAGCTTTGTTCATGTAACAGCCCCCCACAGTGCATTTACTGTAGAGGAGCCATCTGTAGCATTGAAATGAAACTCATCTCCAGACCTTCTCTGTTGAGACTGACGCTGAAGCCCTGCCTGGGTGGCATTTGGTATTAGAAGTGTATGATTGGAGTAATCATTCCATTAACCCATCCTGTGTGGATGAAAAGCTGGACATGAGCTGGCAATGTGCACTCAGAGCCCGGAAAGCCAACTCTACCCTGGGCTGCATCACAAGAAGCATGACCAGCATCTTGAGGGAGGGGATTCTCCCCCTTTATTCTGCTTTTGTGAGACCCCCTCTGCAGTCTTGCACCCAGCTCTGAGGCCCCTGACACAAAAGGGATGTGGACCTGCTTGTGTGAGTCCAGAGGAGGCCACAAAGATGCTCCGAGGGCTGGAGCACCTCTGTTCTGGAGACAGGCTGAGAGAGCTGGGCTTGTTCAGCCTGGAGAAGTCTCTGGGGAGACTTTAGAGCAGCTTCCAGTGACTAAAGGGGGATCTGCAAGAGACTTGGAGAGGGGCTTTTTACAAGGGCATGTTAGGGATAGGACAAGGGGTAAATGGCTTTAAGCTGACAGAGGGAAGATAGAGACTAGATGTGAGGAAGAAATTGTTTACAATGGGGGTGGTGAAATACTGGCATAGGTGATGTGGAGAGGTGGTACATTCCCATCGCTGGAAATAGTCAAGGTCATGTTGGACAGGGCTCTGAGCAACCTGGTCTAGTGGAAAATGTCCCTGCAGGGTGGGTTGGACAAGATGACCTTTAAAGGTCTTTTCCAACCCAAGCTATTCTATGATTTTATTCAACACTAAACAATGTATTTGTTATTCTTTAAAGATTCAGACCTCTGAGACAGATGGAGACAAGCTTCATTTGGCACCACCACAGCCTGCAAAACAGTTTCTCATCTCGCCTCCAGCCTCCCCACCTGTAGGGTGGCAACCAATAGATGATGCAACACCTGTCATCAACTACGACCTCCTTTATGCAGTTTCTAAGCTAGGACCAGGTAAGCATGTGATTCTTGTGTGAAAATGTGTCAGAAAAAGCAGATGAGAAATAGCAGCATAAATAATAACTGTAAGGAAGTTGGCATAAAGCCTGTAAGTGGCATTAAAGCTTTGGATTTAAGTTGATGCATGTCAACTGGTTCTTTGCTTAAGAATGAATTTTACCATATGTATGTACAGAATTCTATCTGCAGCTCGTGAGTGCTGTCTGATCGAATAGCAGATCAAAGCCTGCTTGCACAATTTATTGTGCTTGGGTTTGTGCTTAGATGAGACAACTGATGGTTTAGGTGGGGAATGGACAAATGTCTGACTGTGAACTTGAGGAGATTTTGCTTTAAATCACATCTGCTCAGTACTGCATTCAGGGTGTAGAATGCCTCATGTAATGTTTAGGCACCACTGCATCTCCACTGGAGTGGAGAATCTCTCACCGTAACAAGTGTGCCAAGAGAGAACTGCCACTCCCCAGTCCTGGCAGGGTTGCTCTCCTAGGACTGCCCATTTTCTGTTGTAAACTGTGTTCAGGAGGAATGGTTGGTAAGTTGTAACCTCTGTGAGCAGAAGATAGATGTCAGTGGGTAATGCTGATAGGGTTTCTTCTGTCTTCCCGTCCTCAGCTAATGCCAGGAACTGAAGCTAGCTGGCATTTTCAGAACAATGCTTTCCCTTGGAAAATGCTCATCTGATAAAACCAAAACTTTTCATAGGAGAGGATTACTTTTGATTTGATTAAGTCATCTTTACAAATAGTTTTCCTTCAAAGCTGTTAAAGCACCCGCTTTTAAAATTTTCATAATGGAAAAGGTTCCAGTTTCAGGTTTAAGCAGTATCATTTAGAAATTGGTGTAATTTACATTCATAAACCACAGGGAAAAATAGGTTATTAAATTACTTTCATACTGAAATAAAACACTTCAGATGCAATCTAATAACAATTGGGGGGTGGCTGAGCTAATGAAAATTTATCAGTTTAGTTTTTAAATTCTAGTGGGATGAGGGAATTGTTTTCTCCCCAGTTGAACCAAAGCTGCTGCTTGCTTGTTGTGAGAGCAGCTTCCAACTGCAAACATCTTATCACTGGGGCCTTTGTGCGGCTGTACCAGAGTAACCCAGAGCTGAAGTGCAGGATTACCTCACATCTTTTTCACATGGGATCTCTCACAGGGCGAAAATACATATCAGGAGAACATCAGAGATTCCTGTGGTTTATTCTGTGAGCAGGAAAGCTCTTTGAAAAAGTCTGTCAGGCGTAACACTTCATACTATATTGCATATTATTATTTCCAGAATTGATATGTTGCATCTAAACTAGCGCTGAATAAAAGAAAAACAAAAACCTCCTTTTTGTATTTTTTTTTTTTCCTTTGATGCAGCAGTGTTATAAATGGAAACACGTAAACGAATTCCCAAGCTGGCTGGGTAATAAATCAATTCCTGTTCTGGAGCAGTGGAATGTGAAATATCACTCATTGTCCCACACTCTGGGACAGCTTTGCGTGAAGGTCATATTCACCCGTAGTTAAGGAGCCTGCAGGGAGCAATATGAAAAGTCATGGTGTGCTCTCGTCTTTCTATTTTTAGCACTTGTTAGAGGGATCAATTTTAGTTAACTGCAGTGGCGGGTTTAAAATAGTGTTGCAGTTCTCAGTTGTGCATTTACTATGTTTAGTGTTTCATTGAAAAACAAATCCCACCAAAACTCACTTCGCAGTGTGAAATCAGTAAAGCACAGTGCCGTACATCAACTGTTGGCCTCAGCTACGTTAGATCTTTCTTTTTTCGTACAAGAAACACAACTGAAACATGTAACTATAGCTTAGCAGCTATCAAAAAATGCTCACTGGCACAGTTGTTTACAGACCGAGTGCTGGAGCCTGACTTCTATGACTTTAATGTGTGACAATATCTGAGGACCACAAAAACTCATTTAAGCATGTAAATAGTGAACAGTTTCTTTGTATTTCCTCAATACAGGGTGAGTTCTACTGACCTACTTTGCTGGTCATGTAAGATACACCCCTTGGACACAGACCCATGCTACTTTCCCATTCCATGAGTACAGGTCATCTCCTCTCACAGTACGCTGCCATATTCATCTTAGCCACAAAATCAGAGACTGCAACTGTCCCTGGGCACAAAGGCTGGGACATTGGCTCTGGAGTAAGGTGAACAGGCCGGTAGCTATGTGCTGTCTTTTTCCTTGGCTACAGCAGTGGCTGGCTGGCATCTCAAAGATCTGACAGAAAAGACTTCTTTCTGCTGTGCACAACATTAAATTGAGATCAGTGAGGGTGCATTTACTTCTTGGGGAGGATCATGGCATATTTAATAAAGTTTCTGGTTGACTGATGTATATTCTCACTCTCTGCAGATGCAGAAGTTGAGCTTTAAATGAGGCATGAACAGAACGCTGTAGACCAGTCAGAGCCAGGAACTGTGTCTGTGCCTGCTTCTGACCACTCACCAGCCTATGATTTTTCCAATGTATTGCAAGTAAAGAAGCATGATATTAATCTCTCTGATGAAAAATACTTCCAGTGTCAAGAGAACTTCCAGTAGTTTGAAATACCATCAAAGATACAAAGGCATTGCAGTAACTGGGGTGGTAGTTTGGCTGTTTGCCTATCAGGCCCAGGTTCTGTCTCTGCCTGGACTGGCTTTGACTTAAGTCTTTCCTATAGGAATGCTTACAACCTACCAAGCCGTTGTCTAGTCTAGACCCTCATGTCTTTTCTATAACATTTTGTAAGTTCTTAGTTTCATCCTGCTAAGGAATACAGGAAATAATTTCATATCAGAAATGTTTGTAAGAGGGGGAATCTCCAGGTCCAGGCTATGTATAAACAGCAGAGCTGCTCCTAGCAAAGATAAAGCAGCTATGTTTGCTCTGCCATTTGTTTGTGCGGCAGTTTATGAACCATCCTCATGGCACTAAATAAGCCCCTCCTTTTCTGGAAAGCAGTCTTACCTTCTCACTATCCACTTCCCAACCTGCATATTTCTTCCCTCCTTCCCCCACTGCTTGTTTCAAACCTGTTGCCCCAATTTCTTCTGCACTGTACTGTAACACACACTATACGGTAACACAGACTATGGGTCAGGGTCCTGAGCACTCGCCTGCCCCGTGTGCTCCCCAGTGCAGTTTTGCCCTCTGTCAGTTAGCACTCATCTCCACGATTTCAGACAGTTTGAAAACCAGTGCAGGCTGGGCACCAACTCCAGTAGCCCATATAGACAAGTTTGTACCAGTTTCAAGTTTGTACCAGTCTGTCATCAGCATTCCAGTAGGCTTTGCACCTCCTAAATGCCATCAGGCTACACTCCAGGTCATGTAAAACACATTCTTCACATTATGAAAGCACCATTCCAAAGTATTACACATGATGGCTCTTGGGTCCACAGGGGTACCTCTGGGTACGCAGAGGAGACCCTGCAGCAGCCTGCATCGTTTGGCTGCTGGGTCTGCTAATGGTCAGTTGTCAGAGGAGGAGTTGGGTCAGGGCTTCATTGTTGTCTTTGAGCAATTAAGATGTGGCTGTTCCTGCCATGCTCCTGCTGGGCTCCTTGAGGAGGATGTGTAGCTCTTGCCCCTGCTCCACTCTGGGTTTGGTTCACCCTTGCACAGGGAAGGGGAAAACAGGGAAGTGCAGGACTCTGCCCAGAAAATGCCACACACAGGGATTTCAAACTGTGTCTCGCATGGCAAGTTTTCTATGCCCAGCTGTTGTCAACCTCTCCTGATTGTTCTCACTGAAATGCTAAATACTTCATGTGGCTTCCAGAGAGGATTAAAAGGGAGTGGAGGGGCAGGCGGATGGGTGATAGGTAAAATTTTCCATCTCTATCCTTCCTCTCCCCTCTGTTCTGTGGCTGCTTCTGCCCTTCTCTCCCCTTGCCAGGGGCAGGGTGCAGGAGAGCTGCTGGGTGTAGAAAGCTTTCCCTCTGCCTTCTTCTGCTGGCCAGGAGAGGAGGGTGCCCTTCCAGAAAGCAACTCCTCTATTTTGTGTATGGCAGATCCATGTAGCAGAGGTATTGCATGGGATGGGTTCTCTCTGGTATAAACATGCACCAGTACAAAGGACCACCCATTATTTGCACCACATTATTTGTAAAGCACTTGGGTGAAGGGACTGTAAGTGGAAGGTCTTTTTGTAATGGTAATGACACAGTTAGGATGGAGTGGACAGCTCTGAACCCATTAACCTTTGATCGTGAGTCAGAATCGAGGATGAGGTAGCTGCACAGTATTATTACCATTTCTTCATTATTAATTAAATATATGAAGATACTTTTTGCTGGACAGAAGTGCCTCATTAGATGGGAGATGCATTATCAATGTAAGGTCACAGTACTGATTCACAAAGGGATAGAAAACTACATACCATGATTTTTAATTCTGAAATATCCTATGCTGCTTTTGTGCTGTTCTTGTGGTCATCTTTGTTGTGCCACATGAGGCTGTAGGTTTGCTTGTGGTTAGTATGGCCACAAAAGGTAGTGCCAAGTGACACACAAGCAGCTAGGCCCATTGCTGAATGGTGAAACCTCATATTCCTGGGTTTTTTTTCTTATAAAGGAAGGAACATCAGTGCTATTTTCAGGGATTTGTTAGGAACATTTTCTGACAAACCTCTGCGGTGGAGGTGCCGCAGCTTAGTTCTTCCCTGCACTGCAATCCAAAGGCAGAGTTCAGATGTTTGAGCATAAATTGGGTGATATTTTTCTGAGTAAATTTATGTGAGTTCCCATTGTTGTCTTGGCTTATGTGACTATTTATTCAACTTATTATTAAGGGATATAGGTGGGCCAAAGACTGCTGGAGGAGAAAGACACCTCTCCCTAAGAATCCTTTGGCTTGGCCTGTAGGAGTTCACCATGCAGATGGAAGAAGCAGGAAGGGTAGGGCCTGAGAACACAAAGGAGGCCACATCAGAGACAGCTGAATGATAGAACTGGACAAATGCTTGAGTCACAATAACTATGGAAGTCAGTGAGTCTTAACTATGCTAACCTGACCTCCTACTCTTAGCTTGGGACAACCTATGGCTTGTAACTGTCTCAATAGCAGCTGTTCAACCATTGCTCCACTAGCATAACTGCTGTGGAATTAGTCCTTTTTTTATGCTGAAGGTGTTAAGAGGAAAGACAAAAACACAGAGAAAAGCAGAAGGGAAGGGGTAATCTGGCTGTACCTATGGGATTTTTATTTTGTACTTATTACCCTACTATTTTTCCCCAAACAATGGTTACCTTTAGGAACAAGATACAGCTATACAGAACTCCCTTAGTTACTGTTCCTGGGTCAGCCATAAAAACTTGTTCTGCAGTTTGAGCCACAGTTCTGCAGGCATGAATGATTGTGAGTACAGAATTGAGTCTGCAGCTTATTTATGCTCAGAAATAACTGTGTGCCTTAAACCCCTAATTTATGAGAGCATCGCATTTTGATTTGCAAAGTGACATTAATTGCTATTGCAGTTACTTGTGCCAGAGGCGTCTGAATATTTTTCCTTGTGTCTCTACTTATTTCCACTGCTCTTTTTCAGCGGAAAGAGCCCTTCTGGGAAGGATTTGAACAGTAAAAGAATGTGGCATTTGAACTGGGATTATTACCTTTTAAGAGGGCAGTGAATCTGATTTACTTCTCGGTGCTGGTGTATGAGCAAAGGGCCCGGTGCTGCGTGCGCGCAGCACTGCGGAGCTGCTCGTAGCTGACAGTGACCAATGTAGCCTTCAGTGCTGGTTGGCAGCATTGACGTCAGCCCAGAGCTGAGAAATTAGCTGAAGCCCGCAGGGAAAATAGGCAAAGAAAAACCGTATAATTTCTCAATGCAGCACAACCAAGCTATTCCTCTTTTTATATTTCAGCCTATCAGCAAGACCTGTAATGCTTTGCTCAATTTGGATTCAGAGGAAAGGTTGCCAAAAATAGAGCAGTTAAATGTCAACATTAATGGTATCACAGCAGTAAAATATTTCTCACAGCAAGATGCCTGACTTCCAGCTATTATTCACTAGTTTGCCTCTTATTTTTTAGGCAAAAATGCAGCATGTCCTCTAATCATAAGCCACCTGGTCTTATCTGGACCAGGAGTTTGTCAGCATAAACAGCACATGGGCACAGCCCCAGAACTGCATGTGCTAATGAGGGGACAAACCTGCAACCTCTTCTTCACAGGAATTACTCTGCCACGAAGTTGCTAATAAATAAAAACCCAAATTACCAACACCAGCAAACTACAAATGCTTTGGGGTAGGGATGGCCATTTCACTTCATCATACAACACCTATCACTACCACGCTCTGATGGTGATGCAGGCATTTAGGAGCTGCTGCACCACAAATTCAGGCCAGCTTAGTACATTGGGACCTCACCTTCCTCATTTCATAGTATTTTGCAGGCAATATGCAGTGGTTCTGGAGCAGCGTTATGGAAAAAAATCCAAGCTATGAGGTGTGCACGTGATCACTGTAAGCCTGTTTTAGTGTAACTTCTGGGTCTTGGAGATAAGATGATGATAAATAGGGGACAGGGCATTATCTCAAATGGTTTCTAGTTTTTAGTGCTGCAAATGGGTGTTTGTCACTTCTGAAAGCTCAAGTCATGCTGTCAGTAATGTCACCATTGGTACATTTTCCTTACAGTCTTAAATTAATTCCTTACAATTTAATAACTGATACCTACTTAGATCCTGTGTACAATCCAAAACACATTGCAGTGCCAACAGGCTGAATGCAGGACTGAAAGTCCTGTGTCTGATCTTGATCTTCCTTTGCTTGTGGACTCCTGCACGTAACTACCTAAGCCACCCTCATCTTCCTCATGGTTGTACTGGGTGTAGACTTAAATAAGAAATGTATGTAGTTATCAAATCTGATGTACTGTTTAATTGTTTCACCTGCTGGTGCACATTTATAGCCTGTAATCTCATCTGCAGAGACAAAATTTGTTACAGCCACAGCTAAAGAACTTTGCACCTCAAAATCCATCTGAAGCAGATATGTGTGTGTTTTTGTATTGCTGGAGCAATTGGACCAAGTGCTGATGTCTGTCTGGAGGTGACAAGTTGCAGAGTCTAGGGAGCTTTAAATGGGACTGGAGCCAACAACAGAAAAGAATAGCCCCAACCCAACATGTGTGACATGACTTCAAGACCAAACATGTGAGGGGTTAGGTTCCAGTTCCTGTTCTTAAGCATGAACTTCCATGTTCTCTGTCCTCTTTGTCCTTTATTTCCGCCCCCGCCCAGTGCTGTTGGCCACTGACATTGGTGCAAAATGCAATTATAGACATCAGGGTATTTTATTATGCCTTGTAGACCAATAATCATGCCCCCCCAGGGCATCAATCAGTTGTAACAGCTGATGCAGTCTAGCCATGCTTCCCCTCACCTATATTTAGGAGCAGCACAAGCTCATCTGCCGCATCCAGGTGCAGGAGTATTCTGCAGTCCAAGAGTGTCATAGTCTGTGCTGCTACTCAGACTGTTGTCTTTTGATCTATCTATTTTTCTCTGCTTCCAGGAGAGAAGTATGAGCTGCATGCAGGAACGGAGTCCACTCCCAGTGTGGTAGTGCATGTCTGCGACAGCGACATGGAAGAAGACGAGGACCCAAAGAATTCTCCAAAGCCAAAAATCATTCAAACTCGACGCCCTGGTCTGCCACCTCCTGTATCTAACTGAGCCTCTCCGGCAGAAGCAGCACTTCTCTCCTCCAGCACAGCTCTCGGTTTTTGTTTGCTTTGTTTTGTTGAAAGGCAGCCATTGCCTTTTGAGTACCAGGACACTACTCATTGAAATCCCTTCACAGTAATCAAGCCTATGTAATCAAAGGGCTAGGAAAAAAGATCTTTGTATATGTAACCATATCACACACCAACAGATAGGTTTTTCTGGAAAGGACAAAACAAGGCTGAAGAGACAAAGGAGGGTTTCAGTCTGAGGATTTTTTCACAGCTCTATTTTGCATGCTGAAACACCACTACCAGAGAGATTGTTCAGGGTAGCAATTAGGCTGATATAAGGCTTGATATTCAAACTCCCAGAATACTTGCTACTGCCCTTCATTGAGCAGCCTCTGACCCCCTCAGCTCCCCTGCAGACCTTTTCTCTTTTTCCTTTTAATTTTTTTTGTTAAGTGGGGGTATGTGTGTTGGTTTTAATCTATTAGCAGCTTGGTGGCCTTCTCACCCCCTGGAGTTTTCTGTAAGGAATACTACCTTTGCAGCATTTTTAGAAGCAGCAGTGAAACACCCTCTCCAACCAGTAGAGCTCACTGGTCCTTAATGGTGGCAGGGATGTGAGACAGAGCTCTCTGGGCTGAGGGGAGAGACAGCAGCTTGCTGGAGGGTCCGGTGCCCTTCTCTTAAAGAGGACAGAGCCAGAATATCAACAGGGATAGTAATTCTATCTTCCATAAAGGTTTGAGTGGTACTTCTCTCTGAGTTCAAGGAAGGAAGAGAAGTTAACTGATGGCTCTCTGTCACAGCTGCAAGTTCTAGTAATGATACAGGCTGAATGCTTTCCTAGCGGTGTGTTGAGTAGCCCTGAAACTATTAATAATTACTTCTACATCTCTAACATTCAGATCTGTTACCTCCCCACTTCCTGTGCTTTAAAGCCCTTTTTGAGCTGTATGCAGTTTGGGTTTGTGGAGGTGAGGAGAGGTTGGTGTTTGTTTGTTGATTTTTTTTTCTCTTTTTTTTTTTTAGGCCAAAGAAAACAGGACCATAATTACACACTTGAAATTAGACTGCATGCAACTGAATCCCCTTTTCTCACTCCCTCCTGCATGTTTCTTTCACTGGCAATGTATACTGGGTTACAACAATTGTCCTGTGTTTTCATCATGGCTGGCAGATACTGGATCCCGGGTCTGACAGACCTTCCATGATGACTATTTTTTTATGCGCACTTGTCGTTTTAAGAACATATTTTCTAGACATTTGAGCTCAGATTTTGCATATATTTAAGCATGCGCTTAATTTATGCACATGAGTAGTTCCACTGAAATTAATACTGCAGAAAACTGAGCATATGTGTAAGATACGGTGGGATTTTAAAGCTAATTTAGCTGCAGCTGTACTCCCAAAAGTGACTATAATGGCACAGTGAGGTTCCACGGTTTAAATTCTTTTACGAGTTAAAAGAAGTAAATACATCTTGGAAACTCGCTCTAGGATCTGAAAAGTCAGCTCACGTTCTGTAATCAAGATTTTTGGCCTAAAAACTAATGATCTGGTTTCTGAGAGAGGGTTCCATTCCACCTTTAATTAGCAGTGAGGCTATGGGCTTCAGCAGAGTGAAGCCCCCCTTGCTGGGGCACCCATCGGCTCCACAGTACTCCCAGGAAGAAAAGCAGGTTGCTATGTCAGTGAAGACTGGAGATGCCGTTCTCAGCATGCATGGTAAGAATGTTCTGAGACCTTCCTGAGGATTCACCATCCTCATACATTTTGTTCTCTGACCACCACAGCCCCCTAATATTAGTGTTGAGATGTAGTGCTTTCCTTAGCATATATCTACAATGTGATACTTGTTACTGCATTATGGACTTTGCTGTGCATGTGTTACACTAACAGAAGCACATTTATACAACAGAGACTGAACAAAAAAATTAGGCTTTACTATCCTCATGATATCTGTGTAAACTTGTCTTAAAGTAACTCCTTAGAGGTTTCACTTTAATTACTTTCTCAGTGATGCATTTGGAATTGGTTTAAATAAATTGGCACTCACTGCCCTGGTCTGTAACCTGGTGTTCCTCTTGAAAACACCATCAGACGCCACCTACTAGATTTCAGGAGTAACACCACTCTCTTTTGAGAACACACAATGCTAAGGTCCATGGGGTTTAGACCACTTAAAACAGATTTAAGTAAGATTTTAAAACATAAGATTTTTTGTTGAGATTTGCTGTATAGAAGAAATTACTGGCCACATCCTCAACCAATGTAAGCAGTCAGAGATCATCTCCAATCGAAGCTGATACTCTGGACTTTTTTACATGCAAGAACATTGGAAGCCAAGTCTTGTCCTTGTATCCATGTACTGGAACTCCAGAGAGACTTGGTTCTGGACTATGGACTTTGGCTTCAAATGATGCATTGGATCTTAGATGTGCTTTCCTCAAAGTGCATTTTCAGACAGATTTAAAAACAAACCCTGTGTAATGACTCCTCATTGTCTTTATGAAACTCCACAGTACTTCCCAGGAGGGAGTGGAACGTGGCTCGTTGGGTGAAGTGTACAATAGAAACACAACTACAAACCTGAAAGCTCAAAGAAGCCTGTTGTAATTATGGACAAAGCTTATAGATCACATTTGTATGACAGAATAATGGTCAGCACAGAAAAATGTTTCAGGTATTTTGGAATAATGGCCCTATCATAGAAGCAGCAGCTTTTGTGACTCTTGACTCTTGAGAGAACCTGGTATTTTGCTAGAGGCAGCTTCTTGCCCATCACAGAAGAAGGGCTTTGAAAACATGCTGACCATCTGGAGGAGAAGCTGTCCTGTTTCATTCAGCATGCACAGGCAGAGCCCCTGCTTACTTCAGTGGGCATTTGCTTTCATGTAGCACCTACGAGCTCAGTCCCTCCGACACACACTTTTCACAGGGTGTCCGCAGTGCTAATGTAGACTCTCTCCTGTCGCAGTACTAGAAGAATGGAATCTCTGTGTTACATTACATCTGCCATTGCACAGTGAGGTAGGGGATGTCCTTCTAATGGCCTTTCTGAAGCAGGAGCCTGTGGGAGCGGCTGGCGGCAGTGCCCTGGGCCTGCTGTTGGGTGGACATGACTGCTGCTGCTTGGAAATGAAGGAAGGGAATTGGGGAGTACAGTTGCTGTTTCTGTTGCCTGCTGCCTGCTTGTCCTTTCTCACCTCTTCAGATACAAGACCAAAATTTAATGACTTCCTAAGTACAGTTAAAAGCATGAAAACATTTACAATGCATGGCAAAAGGGTATCTTTGAATCTGTGCTTTTGGATCAGAAGAAGAAAGAATTTCTGTGGCCTTGATTTTTGTAACGAAGACAAGGTAGTACAAACTTCCCCCTTCCTAACATACCCATACACCCTCAAGCACACTTTGTTTTCAGCAAGAAAACATGGCAAGAGCATCCCTTCCTCAACACTAACATAGTTATTGCAAAGTGCTTTATATTGTGAAAATGTGCCCCACGGATAAATTGTTTAACATTTATTTGATCTAAAATCGGGTGGGGGTGGATGGGTTGTTCTTAGTTTGGTCTTTTCCCCCTGTCCTTCCCATTCAGTAACAGTAAAAAAGCTTTCTTCAAAAAGACTGTTCTTTGTACAGAGTGACAGACAAAACCATCTTGCAAGACCTGATGACAGTGGCATGTCTGAGCACTGTGATGGTTTATGTGAGCGTTTCCATTCTATTGTACATACTTTTGAAATATTCTATTTAGTCATATTTTATAGGAGTACTACAAAGCTATTGGCTAATTAATCACTTTTACACTTGTATAATTAAGAGCTTAGTTTAAAAGAATAAATATGGCAAACAATGTTTTTGTGTTCTGCTTGCGTTGGCATTTTGAAAAGCATCATTTAAAAGAGTTAAACTGTATTAATAACTGGCTAGTGTGGTACATACCACTGCTCTCCTAACTGGTAGAACTGAAAATGCTTAAATGTGTGATGTAGGCCAAACTCTGTTTCAGTAGAAATTAGGGGGGAAAGCAGCCCCCTCGCTGGCAGGATATGCCATGTTGTTTTAAACTGTGCAGTTTCAGAGAGTGATGTGAGCTTGCACTGGTTTGCTGTGGATTTGGCTTGGTGTGTGCAGAAAAAAAGGAATAGAGTACAATCTCTGCTGGGCAAAAGCGCATCCCTGGCAGCTGATGTGGTTCTTACTGTGCTGTTATAGTAACTGGTAAATGCGGTGGGCACGAGTGCTTGAGTGAGGAACATTCATGGCATCCAGCTACCATCCAGGCTGGGGAAGTTCTGTTAACATTAAGTATTACAAAAATTAAAAGTAATTGTTTGTAGTCTCTTGTGTCAGTTTGTACTGGACCTTGCGTAGGATTGGAAACGAGGAGATGAATTTGCTGGTTAACTGTCTTGTGAAATTCTTGTATTTCATCACTCAGCTATGCATTTGGGAAAATGACTGTTTTTCTGGGTGCCTGGCATAAAAGACATTGTTTCTCAAAGGATGATCGTTCATGATTCTGAAAGTTAGATCTGCTTAAGAAGTCTCGTTGGAAATGTAAGCTCTGAGCTCCCTGGTTCCTTTTGAAGAGACAGATCAGAGCCTCTATGTTTTGATTAGAAAAACAATAATAGTCATCTTCTCACAGCATTCTTCAGAAGCAAAATGTACTATAGAAGGCCCAATTTATTTTTCACTTTTGAGCAACAGATGAGCTTTCTAACTACAGTAAGGCTGTTCCCCTGCTCCCTGAAATGCTGCATTGCCTACATGCCAATTGTGGCTCTTCCCTCTCACTTGGCACTGGACAGTGCACCTGGAAATGAGCTTCAATGCCTCAGCAGGTTGTCGTGGACATCCTGACTACAGTTAAAATGCTTTCAGAACACACCCTCTAAAGAACCTTTACTAAGTTTATTTCTGTTCCTTCTTTAGTGGTAAACATTTTGCCACTAACATTTAGCCATTTAAGACTTCCTCTCATGTACCAAT